TGTCAATAAAAATGGAAGAAATATAAATATTGTGCAATTTATTCAAAAAAGCTATTTTCAGAAAATAAAATTAGTCATTACAAACAAACATACATATACATTGAACTCTAAAGATGACCAACTGATGGATATGTGATAATGTCCTAAATCCCTTCCTTTCTGTGGGTGCTCCTGACATAGGAACCCTAACCTGCCAAAGTAGTGACAACAAGGACCCAAGACCAATGGCCTCATATCCACACTTACATCTAGTGAGGGATACTTTGTTTTTCAGTGTGACTGTACTTGATATGGTACTGTAATGAAACTTCCTCTTGACAATTTAATTTATGAGAATTGTGCCTTGTCTGATGTTATGAGTGAATTGTTGACTTAATTCATTGAATTTCCTATGTACTTCCTGCAAATTTCTCTGCATTTTTTTCTTTTTTCAGTTCCAAAAGAGTCATCATAAACTAGGAGCCAAACCTACAATGATCACGTTAAATCCAGTTCATGGCATCCCTATAGAACAGAGTAGAACTGTCCTGTAAGGTTTCTGAAGCTGTACATTTTCATAAGTGCAGCTTGCATCTGCTTGCAGTCCCAGAGTAGATGGTAGGTTCAAGCATTTTAGCTATTGTCCCACCAGAATTTTATACTGCCATAATAGTTTGGAGGTTACCGTTTATTCCCCCAGGAACAAACCCACTGAACCAGGAATAAACCAAGCACAACTTGAGATTTCAGAACGTTAGTTGACAGCTGAAGTGTTGGAGAGTCAGGGAAAGTCCAGACATGGGGGAAAAGAGGAGCAAGGGTGGCACAGTAGCTTGGTGAACATACCCACGAACGTTGGTCGCACAGGAGCTTGGAGAACATGCCCACTGATGTTGGGAGCATAATCTCCTTTCAGCCATTTGGGGTCTGAACTGGGTAACACACCTAACAGAAGGCCAGAAAAGGAACTCATATAAGGAATCTGTAGCCTGATTGTGTAAGGTGGTTCACACTGGATTGTGGGAGTTCATGAGCCACACATTCTGGAAGAGGTGAAGAGAAGATGGTGGTTCTGGGAAAGAGTGCTATTTCATCTCCCTGGGGCCAAGGAGGATGAGCAGGAGGACTGGGAGGAGCAGCCAGAGTAGCAGAGGAAGGAATAATATTAGACTGACAGGGTGACACAGAAGGAAATAACCCAGAGTGGGAAAAGCATGGGTAAGCCTGTGTAAGAGCATACATTTTTGCAACAGAAAAATCAAACCTCACCACTTATATGAACAGCTGCAATCAGCTAAACCTCCCCTTCTGGGCATACATAATGAGTTCTAGAGATTAAGCATCCAGAACCCTAAATCAGCACTGAACAAAAGTAAACAAGCTTAAGGATCAGAGTACCATTTAGTTGTTCTCAGGCAAAATTTGCTGCTGTTGAGTTGATTCTATCCTGGAGTAATCCTGTGGAAACTTGTGGGGTTTCCAGGGGTGTGAGCCTTTGTAGAGGTGGTTTACTGCATCTCTGTCCTGCAGAGCAGATAATGGTTTGGATTCCAGCCTTTTAGTTGTCCTCCATACTCTTGACTTTAGTGCTCTCAGGGTATCCAACTGGAAACATTTTTCATGAAAAACTGAATACATAATTTAAAGTACAACACAGATAACAAAATGATTGGCTTGAACAAAGACTAGTAAAACACACAAAACTGCAAGAGAAGAGGGACCAGTCCTCAGCGAAACAGGAAGAAGACGGAATTTCTCTTCTGGAGGCCAAAATGGAAGAACCACTCAGCATATCTCCAGTTGAAAGAAATGAAGAGAAAAACCAAGCCTTAAACTGATATAAGGATGTTTCTAATGTTAAAATATTGACAGATATAGGAAGTATCAGACAAATATGGAACAAACACATAGAATCACTGTACCAAAAAGAGTGGATCAATGCTCGGTCATTTCAAGAAGTAGCATACGGTGAAGAACTGGTGGTATTGAAGGAAGAAGTCCAATTTGCTGTGCAGGCATTTTTCAAAAACAAACCTCCAGGAATTGATGAAGTACTGTGTTAGGCAGGGTTGACTAGAGAAACAAATACAGAGACACTCATATATGTGTAAGAGAGTGCTTTATATCAAGAAGTATTATGTTTCCATAAAACATCACAGTCCAACTCAAATCCTAAGTCCCTCTTCAGACTCATGAAGCCATATGCAATGATGCAGACTTCAGGAACATCACCGGCCAGTGGGTAAAATGTCTTGTGGCTCCAATGGTGGTGGAAGCATCACAGGTGTTGTGCAGGTGTCAGTGTGGGTCCAGAGCATGAAGATGAAGGCAAAGAGAGAGGAAGTTTCCAGGAGGCACCATCAGGCTGTGACCTGATGAACAGGCTAGACTTCATCCCTACACTTGAAGTTGACATGAAATTATGTAACTACCACAACTACCAATAGAAGTGTTTCAACATGTTGATAAAACACTGGAAACATTCACTAGTCTACATCAAGAAATTTGTCAAACAGCTACCTGGCCAACTGACTGGAAGACATTCATATACTTTCCCATTCCAAAGAAAGGTGAATCAACAAAATATGGAAATTATCAAGCAATATAATTAATATCTCATGCAAGTAATATTTTGCTGAAGATCATTTTGAAATGGTTATAACAGTATATAGAGAGTTGCTAGAAATTCAAGGCAGAAAGGTAAATTCAGAAGAGGTTGAAGAATGAGGAATCTCATGGCAGATCTCAAATGGACCTTGACCAAAATCAGAGAATACCAAATGTATGCTTATTGTGTTTATTGACTGTGCAAAGACATTTGGCTCCACGAATCATACCAAACTATGGATAACAATGCAAAAAAAAAAAAAAGGGAATTCCAGAACACTTAATTGTGCTCATGTGAAACCTGCACATGAAAAAAGTGCATCAGAATTGTATTATTTCACCATACTTATTCAATCTGTATGCCGAGCAAATAAGTCATGAAACTGGACAATAGGAAGAACTATAGGTCAATGCTGAGATTCTAATGTGTTTAATGTAACATAGATGATAACCACTGGGAGGGGGATCACTGAATATAAACATTTGAAAGGAAATTAGCAACAGAGCTCATCACAAGAAACTAGCCAAGCACAAACAAAAATCAGAAAAACAAAGATAAGAAAAAAGAAGAGTGATGTCGACACTTCATTTTCAGTAATAACCTTAGATATAAGTGCTCTAGGCAAACACCCTATACAAAAAGCAGAGAGTAGCACAATAAATAAAAAGTATGGTACACCCTTTTGCTGTCCACAAGAAACACACCTTAGACAACTTAAAATCTATTTCAAGAGGTTTATAAAGAAATTTCATATGATAAATGATCAATCCACCAAGAAGACATATGATGATTAAATATATATGCAACTAATAGCAATACATCAAAATAAATGATAAGAAATGCTAACATGAAAGGAGAGATAGACAACTCTACAATAATAATAAGAGACTAAACCACTTCTGTCAATTATTGAGACAATATCTAAAAAGAAGATCTCTAAATTCATTGAGAATTTAAATAGAACAATAAGTCAAATTGACCCTAATGGACATATACAGAATACTTCACATAGGATCACAACAACACACATTTCTAAAATAGAACATATGCTAAAGTACAAAACACCTTAATATAAATCATATAAAGCACCATATCTGACCATAAAAATATGAAACTGGAAATCAACACAGGAAAAATAAACACATGGAAATGAATGGTGCACTACTAAAATCTACTGGACTGTAGATGAACTCAAACATGAAAAAAAATCCTAGAATAATTGAAAACAATATATATTAAAACTGTAAGGACACAGCAAAATCAATACTAAAAATTTTATAATGATTTATAATGATCAATTCCTGTATTAAAAGAAGAAATTTCCAAAGTAATTAATTTAAACTAACCATTTTAAAAAATAGGAAAGGAAGAGTGAAAGAAGTCAAAATATACCAAAAAGGAAATGATAAAGATAAGAGCAAGCAAACAATGGAAAGATCAATAAAAGCCAAAGTTGGTTCTTTGAATAGACAAACCACTGACTAGATTGACCAATGAATGAAAGAGAAGTTGCAAATAACCAAATTAAGAAATGAAAGTGGTGGTATTACCAGTGATCCAACAGAGAAATAAGATCAAAACTGATTGCTATAAATATTGTACTTTGGGATAAACAGATGAAATGGACACATTTTTTTGCAATTCATTCTTACTCAAACTAACTCAAAAATAGAAAATCTAAACCAGCCCCTTACAAAAAGAGATACTGAAGATTTCACAAGAAATCCTGTCAAAAAAACAAACACAAAAAGAAAACCCAAGCAAACTGAACTACATGACTACAATGTGCAGACGTGTACACTCAGAGAAGAGGTGACGCCAACCCTACTCAATCTCCTCAAGAGATTAGAAATATAGGAGAAGAAATAACACCACTGGACGCTTTCTCTGAAGCTGGCATCACCTTAAAGACAATGCCTCCATGGAACAGGTATGTACAGGACAGTTATAAAATTGTCTTTGGTTTCACAATGATAAATGAAAAACATTAAAATTCTCCAACCGAACAAGGTATGAGAGGATTTTTTATGTTGTTGTCTTTGTTGTTGTTGTTTGTTTTGTTAAACAGTGAGAGCAAAATCACTTACTGGACTATAGAGAAGGGCTGAGAGAGCATGCCGCTACGAGAGAAGTGGTGTTTTCACAGAACCAGTGTTTTCCATCCCATCCCTACCTGATGTTGATCAAAACATACCATTTCAAATTTAGTTAAAAAAGGAAAAAGAAAATGTGCCGTATGTTGTGCACATGCCCCAGTTACTTGATGTGCAATAAAGGAATGGGAAGAGGAAATGAAAGAATAGAGAAAAGTGTAGTCGTCAGGATGTGGTGGAGCCCAATTGTGGCTTTCTAATTGAGAGTGGAGTCTTGGTCGGTAGGAAGAGCGTTCTGGAGGCACGGAGCAGGTTCTCTTTTAGAAGACGCCTCCTGTCTGCTGCAGGGAAGCATCTGGTGTATTTTCGTCCTCCGTGCCCACCTGGGCAGGTGTGTGTGTCTCATTGATTGGCCTCCCGTCAAGTCGGAACCTGATCTGCCTCATTGACAAACCCCATGGCTCACCATAGGCTTTCTGTAGTTTCTGAAGTGGCGTTTGCCTCTTAATCTTAAAGTGCACCGTGGAGTCATCCTGCCCCGCCACCTTCAACTTAATATGATCGTTGTTCTCAGTCTGGACTCCTTCTCTGGGTTTCTCGTCGGCCAGGGCAAATGCTGGAGTCTCCTAAACTGCCCATCAGAAAAGAGGTACCAGGTCCACATCAAATGAGCCGACTTTAGACTTTAGATCATAAAGACTGTTACTCTTGGTGATGGGATAAATGGAACCAAATGTAGCTGTAGTGAGCACACTACCAAAATAAAAACGAGTGAACACGTAAAGAGCATGTTGGTCCTTTTCGGTTTTCTAACGCTAGGTGTTTGCACATTTCTTTGTAATATTTACTTTGTACTTTTGAGCTGCCTTTTGAAATTTTTCTGTTCAGCTCTTTCATGTCACCATTTCTTCCATTTGCCTTAGCTACTCCATGATTTAGAGCAGTGGTGTTCAACCTTCCTAATGCCACAACCCTTTCATACAGTTCCTCATGTTGTGGTGATCCCTAACCATAAAAGTATTTTCGTTGCTACTTCATAACTGTCATTTTGCTACTGTTATGAATCATAATGGAAATATATGATATGCAGGATGTATTTTCACTGTTACAAATTGAACATAATGTGATTCATCACAAAATGATTCATCACAAAAATGATTTGTAATTATATGTTGCAAAATATTTATTTCTAATTACAAATAAATGAAATTTTGTCTTGAAACATGGTATAGGATGAGTAACAATCTTCACGCCGGGAACTCATATGTGGGTGTATCTGCATGCGGGCAGACCCACCTGGAGACAGAGGAGAGGTGTCATCGGAAATATGTGTTTTCTGATGGTCTTAGGTGACCCTGTGAAATGGTTGTCCAACCCTCAAAGGAGTCACGACCTACAGGTTGAGAACTACTGTTGTAACTCCAATACTGCTGCTCTCTACACAGTAGCTTCTCTCTACACATATGTGACTGGTCCCCATAAGTACATTATGGCACCAACCCTGTCACATACACCTGTATTTGTATGGGGTGTATGTGATGGGGTTGGCACGATGATGTCATCAACTGCGTCTTGCATGTGGGCGTATCTGCATGTGGGCGGACCCTCCTGGAGGTGGATAGAGGAGCAGTGTCTCAGTTCCTAAGACCAAAGGAAATATGTGTTTTCTGATGGTCTTAGGTGACCCCTGTGAAAGGGTCATTTGACCCCAAAGAGGTCGTGACCCACAGGTTGAGAACCGCTGATTTAGAGCAAGTTTCAGTTTCTTCTGATATCCATGCTGATCTTTCTTTCATGTCTTTAAAAATACCTTTTCTTTTCTTCAGGTATGATGTTCTTGATGTCCTTCCATAGCTCATCAGATCTTCTGTCATTAGTGTTCAGTGTAGCAATTCTGTTCTTGAGATGTTCTCAAAATTCAGGTGATATATACTCAAGGTTGTATGTTGACTCTCATGGGCACATTTTCATTTTCTTCAGTTTGAACCTTAACATAAAAGTGAGCAATTGATGATCCCTCCCACAGTTGGCCCTGGCTTGGTTTTAGCTGCTGATACTCCCTTTCTCCATCATCTCTTCCCACACATATAATACATTTGATTTCTGTGTATTCCATCTGGAAGAAGTCCAGGTGTTGTTGAAAAAAGGTATTTTTGATAAACAATTCCTTGCAAAACTATATCATGTGATATCCAGCTTTTCTATCACAAAGGTCATATTTTCCAACAACTGTTTTTTTTCCCCTGTTGATTTCCAACTTAACATCCTGTGGAATGCAGATGATGTAACCTTGCTTGCTGAAAGTGAGGAGGACTTTCAAGCTGGCTTATGAAGATAAAGGGTTGCAGCCTTCAGTATGGATTACTACTCAATCTAACGAAAACCAAAATCTTCACAGCTGGACCAACAAGTGACATCATGATAGACAGAAAAGATTGAAGCTGTCAAGGATTTCATCTTATTTGGATCCACAATCAATGCTGATGGCAGCAGTAGTCAAGAGATCAAATAAAAGGGAGCTGATATCAAAGAGTTCAAGAAGAAAGAAAATGTTTTGAAACTTATTGTGGTAGCAATTGTACAATACTGCTTGATGTGATTAAACTGTGGAATGTTATGATATCTGTAAGAACTCCCAATAAAATGACTAAGACTTTTTAAAAGAAAGAAACAAAAGAGAAGCATTGCATTAGGTAAAGCTGCTGCATAATATCTCTGTAGGAGTTGGAAAGCAAGGATGTTACTTTTAGTGCTAAGATGCACCTGACCCAAGCTATGCCTCATATGCATATAGCAGTTGAACAATGAATAAGGAAGCCTGAATAAAAATCGATACATTTGAACAATGGTGTTGGCAAAGAATATTGGAAATACCAAAGACTGTCAAAAGAACAAAAAGATCTGTCTTGGAAGAAGTACAGCCAGAATGCTCCTTGGAGGCAAAGATAGCAAGATTTCATGCTATGAGCTTCGGAGATGTGCTCCGGAGAGACCAGTTCCTGGAAAAGGACATCATGCTTGGTCAAGTCGAGGGGTATCAAAAAAGAGGAAGGCTCTCCATGAGCTGGATTGACAAGTAGTTGCAACAATGGGCTCAAACACAAGAAAAATTGTGATGACACAGGGTCAGGCAGTATTTCCTTCTGTTGTAAGTAGGGTTGCTATGAGCCAGAACCAACTCAATGGCACCTGGGAAGAAGTGCATAGAGATAGAGATTAATTGGTGTCCAGGTATGTATGCACACAAAAGAGGCAGAAATTTCTATAGCTACTCGTAAGTACATATATATTGGTGCAGGCAAATGTGTTCTTTGAAAACACAGATACAAATACTCCACAGATATAACTAAATGCCTTTCAACCTTCATCTTCTGGTTTGAAGGCTTAGGATAGAAGCAACTCTGTCAGTAGGCATAACATAGTTCACAAAAATCATAGTCTGCACCCTCATCAAGTGAGTAGCATCTGGGGGTGGTCTTAAAAGTTTGTGAGTTGCCATCTGAGATGTAATAACAACTGCTCATCAGGAGCAAAACTGTAAGAAGTTAAGCCAAAGCTCAGAAAAGAAACAGATCTGTGTACACCACACCCTCTTCTACTTTTAGACTTAGATGGTCGCTTGCTACTTTTAGACCAGGAAGAACAAGATGGTGCCACCACTGACTTTTGAGCAGGATCTCAATGGTTAGTCACAGAGAGACTGAAAGAAACATATGAATCAGAGCGTAAATTCTAAGTAGGATAGTGAAAAGAGGCCTCTGAGACCATTGCCCTTAAATACTCTTCAAATCTACAACCAAGTCTTTCCCATGGCATTACATTTTTTTGGTCATACCAGTGTAATGCATTGTTTTATTCATAACCACATAAAGTTTGAAATTTTAAAGTTTTCTTAAAATGTTTATAGTCATAGTATTTTCAATTTACCCTACATTCTATATATTTTTATATTTACTTTATTATTAATTGGGAGTTAATACGTATGTCATATCATTCCATAGTTAAATCATGTCAAGCAGTCTTGTACAATTGTTACCACAATCAGTTTCCAAACATTCCTTTTCTTCCTGGACTCCTTGACATTGTCTCACTTCCGTTGTCCCCACTGGCCCCCATCCCCAAACACTTATTCTACTTTCTGTCCCTATATGTTCATCAATCCTGGGTTTCATATACCAAAAAAGAGAAAGACATATAACACAAATTCAAGAGGTTGACTCCAAAATGATGTAACACCTCAGAGATAAACCCTGATATGAAAAAACAAAAACAAAAAGTACAGAAAGCATTAAAAAGCAGATCAGGTCCAGCGTGCATCTGAGGGAAGAGTCAACTAAAGTTCTAACCATTCAAGTCAGGTCTATACCTTTTATCTTCTATGCTTATCTCTCGAATGCACCCTACTTAGTAACCACTTTCCTCCTATCCATTTATTATGTAGGCCTATTTCCTATGTAGATCCCACAAATGTATCTTGGGCTCCCACTGTCATTCATAGCCTTCTGCAAACGGGATTCTCACAATTTATGCTTTGATACTAATCCCTCCTTTGGCTTTAAATTATGTGATTTACAATCTTTTGGTGACTGATGATGGTGTGCTTCTTCCATGTTGACATCTCACTCAGATGGTTGCTTGTTTTGAGACAAGCCTGTAAGACCCCAAACACTACTTTGTCCGGTAGCCGGACACCATCAAAGTTCTTCATCACATTTTGCTTTAGCACCTATATCTTCTGTGTTCAGTTCCTGAGGGCAAGTACTGAGCAAGTGCCATGATGTAAGAGCTAATTGTGTTTAAATTAGAGTCAAAACTTTTTCCTGGATCTATGTGTGTTTTGTTTGTTTGGTTTTTATCTGCTTTGGGGTCCCTTTCCAAACCTCCCTGTTAATTTATTATAGAGTCTTATCAATCATCCCCCTGGAGCATAATGATCTTCTGTTAATATTGTCTTTGATTAACCCCTAGGACTATTTTTTTTTAAGTTCTCTTGAGAGGGGGATATTGGGTCAATGTAGCATAACTTCATATCACAGCACCTGAATTATTCACTTTTACAGAATCAATCTTTTCACGGCTGGATGCTATTTATTTAAAAAATGGGGTTAATTGTCAGAGAAATTTACAATAATAATCATTGTGACCATTCGTCACAGTTTTCACAGAATAATATGTAACAAGACCTTGTTTGTCTAACTACCAACAATTCAACAATGTTGGTACAGCTGCCTTCTGCTTCCTCACACACCAACTCAGAAAACACATGTTTTCTGACTTACTGACTTATGTCCTCAACTTAAGTGTATCTGAGGTAGGTCCAGTTCACCCAGTGGAGTTTCCACATCAGATCTCTTTGATGTTGCCTCTGGAGCATGCTCTGTACCTTGAAGATCCAGGATTCAGTCCCAGTTATCCACGGCACCCAGCCTGGGCTCCCAGGTTGCACCCAGAAGCGCAGGACAGTATGGCACATTTGGTGCATACCACCACAGACACTGCCCTCCTAGGCTTCCCAAAAGCATTTTCAGTCATTCTTCCCCCCACATGGAGGTCGGGCCTCCCTTCTCACCTACCGACAGACATGCATTTGTGTTCCCGCAGACGTGTTTTCTCCCTTTCCCCTCTCCTGCATTGTTTTTCCCATCAGTGTCCCTCATTCCTCTCATAGGGCTGTCCACCTGTCCAGGGAAACTCTTCATAGATTTACAGGAGTGCTACTCAGTCGACAACATCCCCTCTCCCTCCCTTGACCGTGACCATTTGATCCTAGCTGACATGAGGCGCCCTCTGGCAAATTGACCTTCAAAATACTTACCTAGAACATATGGTTCATTGACACCTATAAGGCTCTCTACCAGGCTGTCTGGCCCCACTGGCTAGCAGACTGGATGCCCTACAACCTTGAGCTTGCGCCTGTTCTGTGACTTGTTCCTGCAGCAGTGGACTCATGCAGTGTTTGTCCTTTTGCAATTGACTAACTTCACTCACCCTAATGGCCATGACATCACTTTTTAACTAAATAGCATTATGATACACAAAATAACGGATATTGCCTGTATAATTAGTTTCTTACCTTATGTGTCATCGTTATGAGATGCAGAGGTCAAAATGATTCAAAAGCAAAGGCGAGAAGGTGGAGGACAGTAAGTAGACTGGGAGAACTGGAAGAGGAGCAAACTGAACAACAAAAGAGAATGTTGACATGCTCTCGTCAATTAATATCAGTCAGCAACTTGTGTGGAAATTGTGAAGTGTGAACTGCACAATTGCTGTGTGAACTTCCACCAAAACGCAAACATGTTATGAAAGTAGAGAGAAAAGGAGGGTGAGAATGGTCTCTCTTCTCCAAGAACGTAATCAGTGTCATGTAGTTGTACGTGTAGAAATTGTTGACTTAATATATGTTACTGCATATACAGAACGACATGTACACGAAGTGGTGCATTTCAGGAAAATCACTGAATTGTTCCTTCTACTACAGGCATTATTGACGGAAGTTATAAGTAGAGAGGTCTGGGTTTCTTTCACCCTTTCCTGCCCTCGGGTCAGCTGAAGAAGCATGACCCTCTCATGATCAGGGAAATTAGTAGCAATTCTTAAATAAAGGAAACCATGGGATCTGAGACGTTTTTCAATTGTCCTAAGATTGGAATGAGTTTAGGCAACAATTATGTTGGCACTCCTAAATTATATCACAGGTGAAAAAGATTTTGTCAATCCGTGAATTTGGAGTAAACCCTCTTTGGAAAAAAAAAAGAAAAATTATCTTTTGATGTGGAGATTGAATGCCAAGAGAAGTTGTTAGCCACTAGGATTATTCATTCTGCACTGGGTATGAAATAATTGTTTCTGTGTCCTTAAATCCATACTTAGCTAGGCATTAAAGTCTAGGAATAATATGTTTATGGAAAATAAAGCTATTTCTATTTGAAAACAAATAGGAAAATAATTCTTTTTTCCCCCAAATGTGTCCCCTTTTAATTGATCAAATGCATCCAAAAATTTCTGCTGGCAGTTTGAACACTCTGTAGGTGTTGTTGCTGCTCTAAATTTATCTGCAAGAGGAATTGTAAATGGTATTTACCTTTTAATTAAACAAAGCATCTTGCAAATTAAACACATGTTCCTGCACATCAAAATTTGGTTAACATCCTTTTCATTTTTCCTCCTGCTGACTCTCTGGCTGCATCGTGAGTCCATACACAATATAGAACCACCCAGCTCCCCTTCCCTGCACTTGACACTCTTCACAGTAGATGAGATCACATGCTACAGTACACTCTGTAACCGACTTCTAATAACTGAGCAGCTTTTTCCATTTAATATACTTAATATTGTGTAAAATATGAGACCACATGGCGTGTCCAGAGCCTGGAAAGCTTTGGACACTGATCTGACATATGTCTGATAATCTTACACTGGAACTTTGACAGTGAATGACAGAACACCTTAGAGAAATCTAAGAAGCTGATAAAGGCAGAAGAACTGCACATGAACGCAGAGTCTGGTTTCTAATAGCTGCGTACTTTTTTACATGCATACCGGTAATCTGACATTTATAATTCACTGTGGAGCTTAATTTCTGTCATTTTCTTACTGTCAAGTGCTCCACATTTTGAAATAAATGTCCCTTCTAATTATTATATGAATTTGAACTTCAACATTCAATTTCCCCCCCATCCCTTATAATGGAGTATTGCATTTCGCTGAAGTCTGATTTGCAAGAGCATTTAGGAAATGTGATTATTTCAAATATATTCCTATAAACTATACATGGGAACCCCTTTCTTACCTCCACTGTGCCTTACTTGTGAAAGTTCTTGCGAAAGTTTTGAAACCCATCCATCAGTACTATTCCGAAGAAAATATGGTTATTAATGGTAGAATGAAACTGAGGTAATTAGGATATAATGTTAATGAAACAAAAGTTAGAGAAAGGATTTTCAATAAAGCAAAATGTAGTTGTTAACTGTCACTCAATTATACTGGTGCTCATTAATCTCTTTTATTGCTTTTCTTTTATGGTTTAAATAATTAAAATAAAGTCATTTGCTTAGAATGTTTTTAAAAGTACAATCTCAGAATAATAGTTAAGTAAAATCCAGGGTAAGGTGATTTCTTCTCTTAGCATTATGAGACATCTGAGATTATTCTTCTGTAAAGTTGAGAGAACAGTTTTCACAGTTAGATTTTCACATTATTTTAGGTTCAGGTAAATATCCAATTCAAGAGATACTGTTTTTGTTAGAAATTGTTTTGAGGCACAGAGCTATTGGTAAGGCTGCAGGCAGGGTAGAGGGAAAGCAGCCTCTTAGTATTACCATAAAGAAATGTCTACTTAAATGGAAAAAATACCATTTTTTTCCTACACGCATATATTTATAATGCACATTTTGCAACTGTACATTTTTGTGTTTCAAATAGATGCTTATGAAGCTATTGGTAGTATGGTTGCTGATTAAAATAAAGGATAACAGATAAAAATAAGCTTTTTGGATGTGAATACACCACATAAGACTTAAAATAACTAATCAATTTTTCTAAATTTAGATAAGATGAAAGGTTAGATACCTTGCTGGTCATAATGTTGTGAGATGTTACTTACCATTTGCTTTCATACACACAACTTTGTGTCCTTGCTTAAACACTTTACAATTTAAACGATACAATTTTCCAAGTATAAAGAAAATCTATGCTAGCTAACAAGTTTCATAAATATTGACTGGGACTTTCAGTGATGTGTAAAATGTGCCTGAACCATAGACACAGATTTTCCGTCTGAATTTTTTTAAGTTTGATATTGATCCTGGTGCACTTGGTTTTCACCAGGCTTATGCAGGGTAAAGCATTGACTTAACTCTTTGTAGAATCATCCAACAGGCAATAATTGTTTCAAGTGAGACATGAGGTTCCATTCTTCTAGAATGTTTTACATAATATATTCAATAATGTACACCCAATACATTTTTAGGGTCCCTGAAACATTGGGAGTTCAAACCCACCCAGTAGTAGCTCAGAAGACAGTCCTGCTGATCTGCTTCTGAAGTGTCACAACCCTAAAACCTTTGTGGGGAGGGCAATTCTACTCTGCACATTTGGGGTTGCCGTTCATGAAAATTAATTCAATGCCAACTAACAGCATGATACTTTACATATCAGTTTCCCAAAAGGTACATAAAAAATGTCCAAAAATTAAGCAAACAAATAAAAACAATGCCGTCATGAATGTTGATGAAATTATCCATCTTTCTTTTTTTGTACTAAATGGCACTGTGCTGCATAAGATATGACCACATTACATCTCACAGCAATCCCCTCGTGGAGATACTCTGGGGGTACTGAGCTTTACAATGATGGGATGTGTTGTTTATTCATTTAGTAAAAAGTGGAGCTTGGTTTTAAACCATGCCCTAATGTAAGAGGAAAATCTGTTATTTATAATGTTATTCAGCTACACATGGCTCAATAAATATTTATTCAATGAATGAATGTAGTAGAATTGAAACTAGAACACAAGTGTCCTCAGCGCCAGACCTTGTCCTTCAGTTTTCTTTCTTTCTTTGCATTTTTTTAATCCTCAAAGGGAATGGGGAAATGTCTCTACTTTTCTGCACTGGATTTTCTGCCTAAATCAAATGAAGCCTAAACTAAAAGCAGTTCATTCAAAGAACAGTCATTCAAAGGCTGGTTTCAAATTGAAATCATGTAAACACAACTAAATGTACAGTTCTTTTCAGAAGACTCAGAAAATCACATTTACTTCCAATAAAGTCATGATTATTGATTAGTACATTATCTTTT